GAGGGGGCACAAAATCCCAAAATATATATCATGAATATCGAGCAAAGTCTTCAACCACTTAAAAATATCGAACAAGATCAGCATCAGGGAAAAGAAGCATGAAGCAGAAAGCATTTTATAATGTCACAGAAACTTAGGATGGAAATTCTGAGATTCTAGATTTCAGAATCTTCTGGGAGCATGACCTCAAACCCCCCCAGATCCCTCCCCCCAGAATAAGATGTATGAGATTGTGTCCTTTTAATAAAATGTCATACCTTTATCTTCTAATATATTTATTTATCATRAAACTTTATGCCCACAAAATCACATATAATTTAGATTTTGAGAGAATACGTTTCGCGTGGCTTTGCATCAAAGCGAGACGAATGGTGAGCTTGCAATAATAGAGACATGTGAATAATTGTCCAAGGCGTTAGAAAACKTCTCTATCATTGCAAGCTCACCGTTCGTTTCGCTTCGATGCAAAGGCACGGCTACCTTCATGATGGCGCAGGGAACTGTGAAAGGGACTATTTACCTTACAGCCAAACCGTCACCGAATGTTACATGATGGCTAGAAACTCGAGAGAAAAGCTACAAGTTATTTATATATATTCCTAAATATTCATAAACGATATTTAAAAGTTTAGCAATTCGTGTGTGCCACTGAATTGATATTAGTTTTTTCTACAAAAAATCGAATTTAATGCTTGACTTATTATTAACTCCTCAGTGAGTTTGGTGACTACCATTTTTTATTTTTTCAAAAAGTTTTTAATGAATCAGGTATGCAGGAACTTTCTGAAAAACACCTTAGTGATGAGAGTTTCCGGTATAAACATTGTTATTCTTTTTATTTTTATATTTTCTTTTGTTGGGTCTCAAAGCTGAACTAAAGCTGTCATAATCAAGTAGTTAGCACTCAATATTCATGTCAGGCATTAAATAAAGATTCGTTTCAGCAAAATTTTGTTTAGCTTGAACGTAATAGAGGTTTTGCACCATCACGTGCCGGCGCCATAATCCAGCTTGGACTTCCTGTAGTTAGATGGCAGAACAATRAAATCCCTTTGCTCTCGGGAATCGAATTCTTTCTTATGTAAAACGATTGTATTATTTTAAGAAATAAAACAAGTTTCTTTAATCCAAACATGTTTCGGAGCACATACCGCCGTCATCAGTTGATGTTAATGATGTAACATATGTATAACAAACATTCCAGTTTTCACATGTAAATTTATAAATAAGACGCGAGCGCATATCTTTGGGGATTACAACATCAAGCTTGTATTTACTACTTGCAAAATAGGCAGTTTATTTAACGTTAAGGATCTATTTCTTAAAATTGTTTCTTCACTGCTGACTAACAGATTGTATTGTTCCTGCCACCTAACATGGCTGCCGTCACGTGGTGGTGCAAAA